CCATAGGGAGCTTCGCCGAATGCCCCAGTGGCACCCATCTCGGCACACCCCTCACACGTTCCGTAGTCCTATGGGGAGTTCCATTGAAGATGAAACCCGCAGCTGCGGTACTGACAACTGCATATGGTTGGGTTCTTCGCCAGGCTAATTTTTAATTTTTTATGAGCATATTTATTGAGCATATTTATTGCATCTTTACTGAGCATTTTTATTGCGCATTTATTATTTTTCGTCCAAAATCGGCCTGTAGGGGGACAGGCCCGACGTAAGCCTGGGCCAACCCTCCTCGGCCCCGCTGGCGGTGCGGCCGCGCGCCCTCGGCGCCAGCCGGCCGCCTGCCAGAAGCGCGTGGTCGCGCGGGTCCCGGGCCGAGGGCCGGCGCGAGGCCCCTGGCGTCGCTCGGGCGTGTGCCTTTTTCCTTCGGCGAGGACCATCGAGGAGCATCCTTGATGATTTGGCGAAAAGCCACGCACGAAACCGAAAAAAACGCAGGGAATGGACGCCCGAGCGATGGCCAGCGCCAGGGTTCGCGCGCCAGCGCGAGGGGCCGGCGGCGCCCGGCGCCCGAGGCGGCCCCAAGTGGCCTGCGGGGGGCGCCGTCGGCCGCTACCTCGACAAGCACCGCAGGCAGCTCAACGAGGAGTGCAAGGGCCAGCCCGGGCTCAAGGCCGGCCCAGCGCCGCCCTCCTCGCCCGCCCCCCCCCCCCCCGCGCAGAGGAGGCGCCGGGCCGGAGGGAGGTCGGAGCAGCTCGCCCTGTCCCCAGGCATGCCCTCGTCGCTCGAGAATGTCGACGTTAGGCTTTGGCACGTGTTCGCCCTCCGGGGGCATTCGCTGGGCCCCGGGGCCGTTAAACAACGCTTCAGGACGAAAAGCGGGCCCCAGGGAAAGGGTCGGGTTTCCTGGGGACCCTGTATTGAACAAGTCAGGACACCGCATGTGTGGGTCTTCAGGGGGTCCAAGAGGCCCGGACACACGGCGGTCAGGAAAAGTCGAGGTGCCGTTTTTCCTGGCCTCCTTGGGCCTCTGGGGGCTGGTTGCGGACCCTGGAACTTAGAAAATCACATATTGTTTGTTGAGGTTGGAACCAGGCTTTTGATCCCACCAAGTCGACTTGAGATGAAAAGCGGCCCGAGGGAAGAGGTCGAGAGATCTGGGGACTCTTGATTCCCAGAACCTGTTCACGGGAATGAATATGAGGCCTGCTTTGAAAAGGCGGCCCAGGCCCGTTGCCTCAGGCTGCCCTGTGTCAAGACTTCCACTGCGTTCAGAGAGCTGGAGGAACAGCTCCTGTGCCCTGGGCCATTCAGAAGGGGCGAGAGGAGCTGACGGCATTTTAATACTAGCTATCGGGACGTGCGTCCCGTTTAAGAAGACCAGCAGTTGGAAACCATCCGTGTGAATGGCACCCTTGCGATAGAAGATGCGAAGACTCTTTCCACAGGGGCCCAGCAGCCCACCCCCCTCTCTTATGAGTAATATCGTGACTGCTAACAACGAAAAACGATACTAATGTTACGAGCTCTCGTGCGACAACTGCCACAGGGAATACGACAACAACGACTACTACGATCATGATTCGAATGTTGACTACAACTACTACGAATATGTTTACTAATATGTTCACGAGCATTATTACTACTAGTGCTAGTACTATTACTAGTACTAGTACTACTACTACTACTACTACTACTACTACTACTACTACTACTACTACGACTTCAACTTCTACTATTAAAACCGCTACCACCACCACTACTACTACTACTACTACTACTACTACTACTACTACTACTACGATTACTACTACTATTACTACTACGACTACTAATACTAATACTTACTACTACTGACACTACTACTAATCTACTAGACTACACGACTACACTACTAACTACTACTGACTACACCTACTAACTACTACTACTACTACTACTATTTCTATTACTACTACTACACTAATACGACTACTACTACTACTACTACTACTACTACTACTACTACACTACTACGACTACGACTACGAACTACTACTATCACTACTACTACAACAACTAACTCTACTACGACTACTAACTACTACTAACTACTAGTACTAGTACTATTACTACTACTACACTACACTACTATTTTTACTACTACACTACTAACTACTACTACTACTCTGACTGACTACTACTAGTACTAGTACTACTATTACTACTACTACTACTATGACTGCGACTACGACGTGCTACTACTACTACTACTACTACTACTACTACGACGACTACTACTACTACTACGACTGCTACTACTACAACTACCATTACTACTACTACTACTACTACTACTACTACTACTACTACTGCTTCTACTACTGCTTCTACTACTACTACTACTACTACTACTACTACTACTACTACTACTACTTTTACTAGGACTACTACGATTACTACTACTATTACTACCACTACTACTACTACACTACTACGACTACTACTACTACTACTACTGACTACTACTACTGACTACTACTACTACTCTACTACATTACTACTATACTAATCCGGCTACGACGACTACTACTACTACTACTACTCTACCTACACTACTACTGACTACTGTTTTACTACACTAACACCTATACGACTACTATCTACTCTGCTACTACATAGCGACCTTTCGAAGGCCGGAGGCGCTTCTGAGAAGGCCGCACTCGGCCCTTCTGAGGAGTCGGGAATCGTACTCTCGGAAACCAGGGTCAGTGAGTACCTGGGGCATAGTCAGGCCATGCAGGATCTTGCACCTATAAAGCCAAGGTTCAGTGCATCCGCTGCCCTCCTTCCCTTGCTCATCCGTGCTCTGTCTCCCCCGTTTTTGCAGCGACCCCGGTCTCTGGAGCCCCTAAGAAAGATCGGCTCTACTACTACTACTACTACTACTACTACTACTACAACTACGACTACTACTACTACTACTACTACTACTACTACTACTACTACTACTACTACTACTACTACTACTACTACTACTACTACTACTACTACTACTACTACTACTACTACTACTACTACTACTACTACTACTACTACTACTACTACTACTACTACTACTACTACTACTACTACTACTACTACTACTACTACTACTACTACTACTACTACTACTACTACTACTACTACTACTACTACTACTACTACTACTACTACTACTACGATTACTAGTACGGCTACGACGACTACTACTACTACTACTACTACTACTACTACTACTACTACGACTACTACTGTTATTACTACTACGACTACTACTACTACTACTACTACTACTACTACTACTACTACTACTATGCACAACTACAACAAGTATTCCTACTACTCACAATACTATGACTACCACTACGAATATCATTATTGCTACTAGTACGACTACGACTACGACTGCTACTCATGCTGCTGCGCATACTAATATTATTATTTCTAGTACTACGACTACGACTACTACTACGACGACGACCACGACCATTACTACCATTACTACGGCTACTACTACTACTACTACGACTACTACTAATACTACTACTATCTTTACTACTACTACTACTACTACTACTACTACTACTACTACTACGACTACTACTACTACTCCTACTACTACTACTACTACTACTACTACTACTACTACTACTACAAGTACTACTACGACTACTACTACGTCTGCTACAACAGCGACTACCACTTCTATTACTACCCCTTCTATTGTTACTACTGTTACTGATGGTGCTACTACTACTACTACTATTACTACTACTATTATTTCCGCCAC